TAACTGAATCTATATTTTTATAAAACAGTAAATTCCTAAGGACTGTGGAAATGTTAGTGGAAGCACTGCCTTATAAATAAGAGATCCATGAACTAACAAACACTGGTGTATGTTTAAGAGGAAATGGATTACTGCCATTGAGTCCATTCTGACTCACACCAACCTTGGCTGTAAGCAGAATGCCAGACCTTTCTTCTAGTGCACTGATCGGTAGCCTTGAACTGATAACCTTTAGGTTGTCTAGGTGCAAACCTTTTGTGCCACCCAGGGACCTAAGTACAATACATGTCTGTATCCTAAAAGGGGTGGGGGGAGGGGTGGTAATGTTCCCTTTCCCATACTGTCCAGAACAAAGCAGCAAAAATGTACAAAATACTTGGAACAAACTTCCTCCTATTTAAATCATTTAAAACCAAAACTTGAAAATCCCTAGTGAAAACTACAGATAATGTAACTTGCGAATATGGCTTAAAGATATTTTCTACATTCATTCACTAAAAAGAATGTAGACTTTTAACAGCAAAACAAAACGTATGATAAGCCCCTTCCCTAGGTCATCAAATTGATAAACGTGGGGAACAGTGTTACAGGATTCAGTACTTAAGTGTTCCCTTCAGATGGCCCACCAAAAATAGGATATTATATTTAAAGCAAAAAAAAAAAGACCTACCAGAGTTACATTCACATGCATGTAAAAGGCTCTGAGGAATTATTAAAACCTATTTGGTCTAAACTTAGTTATCTATCATTATGATGCTATTTCCTGAAAAATCAGATGCAGAATATGTGATGGAATTCAGGCTCTTCTGTGACAATGCTATGCAGATTCCACCATGGCTGCCTTTTAAATTGGTATAAGGCAACACAGGTTCTTTCAAACCAGCATAACCCAAATGCTGCAGCCTCATCCTTCACCCTTACCCCAAGAAAACTGAGATTGAATTGGTGTGAACTGCAAGCCTTCCCACGTAGTTTCCTTGAAAGTCACAGGATAAAGCCATTAAATACTTAAATGAACTTTAGCTTCCCTGATGTACTAATTACCCTATGTCATACCAGAATACAAACCATTTGGTAAACCAGATACATACATACTTAGGGAGTGTACTCTATGTCTTTGATGATGATGGTATTTGCTGAGCCATATTCCTCTGTTATTCCCATGTAAAAAGACAACTAATGCCAGCTAACCATTGGCTTCCTACAACTGCCACTACCAACATACACGTCAGTGGGAATACAATCTGTTTAAATAACTAAGGAGGAAAGTACCACAACAAACTTCCCTTCTTTGACCATGATCGCCATTCTTGCAAATCTCAACATGTAAGCCTGGGATGTACAAAGCTACTATGCTCTTTAAGAAGAACATACAGCTAAAGAAAAACTGCATATGCAAGTCATACCGTATTCTTTTTTTTTTTTATTTAACTTGGGGGTGGAATGGGGATAGCATACATTTTATTTGTACAATATTTAACAATCACTTATCTGAGGTGGGGCTTTATGGGTTTTTTAGCTTTTCATTAAATACTTGCAGAAAAACAGCAAGTACGATTTGACAGTAGTACAACAACCTGTGCCCAAAACACTGACAAGAAATACAGAGTAAAGCTAAAATAATTGCTTACCATTATCTCGAGAGGTAACAAGTAGGATATGGGTTGAAACGGCATAAAAAATGTACTGCTGGTTGAATATCTGAGGTAAATGATTTTCAATCAAATGCTACTTGTATCATTTTGCCCATAAATTGGTAAATAATTTTATGCACATTATACCAAATGTTCCAAAAAAGTAATTTTTAAAAAAGGTAAAAAAGAGAAACTGGAAAATATCTGTGGCAAAGCTTACTCCCGTCCCCCGCCCCCCCCACCCGAACAGTAATCAGTTCCACTAAACTACCTATCATCCAGCCAGGGTTTTCTTCCTACCACCTGCATTTTACTTAAATGTAGATGTTACTAGGGGTAAGGAAAGGGAGAGAGATTCTTTTAAAATTTCATGATACGATTTTTTAAATTCCAAGGTGTTGGTTTTTTATTCCTGATTGTATTTTCAAAATGTCACCATGAAAGATAATGCAAGTTCACAGGACCAAAAATTTTGAGGCACAGTCTCTGTTCTGGAATTCGTAAGGTACCTGTAATACACATCCAAACAAGAATCACACATCACATGCTAAAAACTTCTAGCATCTAAAATACATACAAGAGCTGTGGCAGGGCATAGACTTCGAATAAAGCCAAACACTGGTTAATCCATCAGTCCTATGGCAGTTGATCATAAAGCAATCCTCACATGGAGATCTGAGCAAGGTAAAGAGTAATAAGTTAGAGCAGCAGTCGTGATGGGTGTCAGAAAGGCAAGATACAAGACTAATCATGAGGAGCACCATACACATGAGGAAAAATTACTGGGGTCTCAGTTACCCCAAACAAAGAAGCCAAGGTTTTTCGCATTCTTTGATCTTTCCTTTTTCCAGTATCCCTACCTCAAACTTTTGTTAACTTGCCCACTCTGCACTGACTGTAAACCAAACACTAAAATGCCCTGCAAAAGAAAGTTTTAACAAGACTAGGTATCAGGACAGGTAGTCACTGGAACATTTCTTATTTTACTGCTTATAAAAAGTATTTTTCTATTAACATAGTTCTCAAAAGGATACAAGTTTTAAAACTGGTTAGCTAGAGTTAAGTACAATACCCAGGATTTCTAAAAAAAACTTTCTAACACGAAAACATTTCATATAGTGAATAATTGGTTTTATAAAATTCACTGCTAGAGCTCACATAAGCCAAACATATTCATCATATCCCTTGTTTCTGTTTTATTATTTTTTTTAACTTTAAAAAGGAGGGTTAAATGTTTATAACATATAGAAATTAGTCTTCAGGAGATAAACACTTTTCATGTATACACATTTCTCAATATGTTCTCTTCTTGATTTGTTTCAAAATGGAAGCAAAAACAAACCAAGAATTTGAGAGACCAAGTACTTTTTTGGAATAGAGAGCAGAACTCAACATTGAAATGGGAATTCTTAGGAATACAGTGAACCTTGTGTACATATGTGACCAAGAGCACAAATAGTTGTGTATGGTGTGTGGCACACAGACAACAATGCTATTACCCTTCTTTCCCTCCCTGCTTAGAGTCTGTTGACCTATGTCTTATTATAAATAATATAATTTATTATTCCCAGAGATTAAGTGCATATGTAAAATGTAGTGTGTACTGTGTGTAATATAACCATTTGAAGATAACATTCACAGTAAGGCTCCTGATTTAAAAAACAAAAAAGACCCAATGCCGTCAAGTCGATCTTGATAGTGACATGTAAAAAATTATTTTATAAAATTAATGTATGGATTTAGAAGTTACCTGACAAAAGTACACAGCATAATACTGGCTGTTTGTTGGTGAGTAATCTTGAGTTTCAGGAAATTAATGATTTACTTTGGCCTATATAAATTTGAAGAAGAATCCAATTATATTCTAATGCAATATTGTTTTCAAAAGCTCTTTGGACCTACCGACCAGCAATTCCATTTTCTCAGCAAGGAAAAGGCAGAAACTATCCTAAATTAGTATCAGAGTTAGTTGTAAAAGCAATTTTGGGGAGGAGGCTAGGCTTTGTTGTCTCTATCAACACTGGTAACCTCTAAATGTCATTGCATAAGTTTAACTGTTATCCCTGATTTGTTTTAAAGCAGTAACATCTGAAATCTGTGCTTAAACTCAAAACCTTTATCCTAGAATAATTCTTTACATATCACAGACATCAAATATTACTCTGACAAGATGGCACCAAGCAGAAGTATAGTGATAAATTACAAGTCTCAAAGCAGAGAGTGAGGAATTCTGGGTAATGACACTTCCTGAGGTGATCCTAAAACAGTGATAAAGAATGTCCCACACACTGTTTGGTGAAAAGAAATGCACTACATTTTTACATATATAAATAGGAAAAAATCTATTTTAAAAGAATAAAAATGAAGAGCTTTCCAGTGTCACAGCTCACTTAAAAAATTTTAAATCATGCTTTAAATTTCCAAATATTCCCCAAACACAGCACACCTAAAAAAATATATACTTAGGTAAGTATGACATATTTTGGGAACTGGATATAAGGTGAAGTTTTAAAACATGGCAAGAAGGGAGAAATGACACCTTTTTTTTTTTTTCATTTTAAAAAACAGCACTTTTTCCTTAAATTACAAGCTAGCACAAGAAAAGCTAAAACACTGCTTTACGAATAGCCACTTACAGTTGGCACTAAGCATAGCTTACCTTTTTTCTTAAATAACACAGTGAATTTTTAATACCTTGTTACAAAACATGGATCGATTTATTATTCAAATTTTAGTGTTTTCAATTTTATAATTTAGCAACCGTGGAACTGAGGTATACCTTGTTGAGGGAGGTTAAAGTAATGCTTGGAAGCCTCTTTACTGTACCCCACTTTGATGACTGTTTATGTACACAGAACAGCAGCACACTAAACATTCACAAGCTGTGTCATATTGGCATTACAATAGTCATTTATAGAAACACAACAGCAAATGCAATAAAAACAAGTTACCCTTTTTAAAATCTGAAATGAAAAGTTTTTGATTTTTGTTTTTTTTTTTAAAAAAGTTCATTTAAGGAATTAGTGTCTTCTGACAGACATTAAGAAATCTGATGTCAGTTTTCAAACTCTCTATTAGCCAGGTCCAAAGACCCTTATGATTTGGAGAGGGCCACATTCTTCATGTACACTTTCAAAAGTTTCTTTATGGAGTTTGCAACTTTTCTCTCAGTCTCACGTCCTTCACGTCTGTGCTGTAGGCAATGCAGTAAGTCTCCCAGAGCCACATCTTTCAATGAGGGTCTTCTGACATTTCCAAGAGACATCCTACTGATTTCACACAGAAAATCCAACTGTAAGCAGTTTCATTAGCTCAGTAGCTCCAGTTCAGAGTCTTGTTTCTCAGTGTGTGCTGACGGTGCAACTATCATAGACTAGATTCTTTGGGAGGAAAGTCAACATTTGTCACCATTGTGACCACTGTTACAATGTCCTCTGTGGTAATGATATTTGTTAGTCTTTGCATCTGAGTAATTCTTTCTCCTACACATCCAGCTGATAACCTGGCTTCTGCATCATGATCCCAACACTCTTCTATTGTTTCACAGAGCATTGCCATTCCCTAAAAGGAGAAAAACATAGTTCACCAGAGAAATTTTTGTTTTCTATCAGGAAACAGAACTGCCATAAAGAAATCACTATTTGGGTGAGTCAACGCAAGTTTCAAAATCAACCATGTTTGATACTATTTGTCAACAGTCATTTTTATTGAACATCCACTGTGTGCAGGACCATTAAGAAAAGCATTCAGAGAAGGGTTTTTTGATTGGCACTGGAGACTATCACAGCAGGAAACCTATTTTTCAATTCCAAAAATCTTTCTTGTTCATAAGCCAAACCATTTCAAAGCTAACCCTTGAACTAGACTCAAAGGCTAAAGGAGAATCTACCAAGTTTTCTTATTTTCTCAGTTCATATCAGCATTTCTAGCTTGCATTTAAACAGAAAGGTCAGCCAAATCCTCGAGGAGTCTCTATCTGGTTCATCCGTGTTCCTAAGTACATCTAGACCAAATGACCAGCGCAGTGATATTCCATCCTTTGCCAGGTTTCAAGCTTTAAAGGATTCTTAAGAACTTGAAATTCTTCCAATCCCAAATCAAAAGGCTCAAGCGAACTCCTTTGGAGAGGGCAATACTGGGTGCTTAATGTATAATAAGCTTTTTTAAATGGTATCCTAATGGCAGGTTCCCCAACTATCTGCAGGTTCTGGGTCAGTATTCCTCCTCCTGGGAAAGTTTCCAAGCATGAAGCATGCAATTCTGCATGGGAACATATTGACAAGCGCTTCCTCAGGCTCTACGACTTCACCACCTCCCTCATGAGTATAAAAATAAAAACCTAACCCACTGCCATCAAGTCGATTACAATTCAAAGTGACCCAACAGGACAGAGTAGAAGTCTCATAGGGTTTCCAAGGCTATAAATCTTTACGGAAGCACAATGCCTCATCTTTCTCCCACGGAGTGGCTGGTAGGTTTGACTCACCGACCTTTTGGTTAGCAGCTGAATGCTTTAGACAGCCCCAAGTCTATTCTTTCTAGAACTCTAGTACAAAACATCCTGTGTGAAGTACACCTCCCCAGAAAATCTTCCCAGAAAAGAAATATGCAGAGATAAATCGTTCCTTTGAAGGGTGTTTTATTGGAATTTCAAATGAAAAGCTAACTGTGTAACTTACAGCATGCTTCTGCCAATAATCTCTTAAAACAGGCCTCTTTTTTTTATGCACAACAACTTCCTGCATGTCTTCAAGGGATGGATGCTGGCCAATTTCCTCCTCAAATGGCAACATATACTCATCTACAGGCCCTGAAATACAGAAGATGAAAAAAAAAATTAATTCAAATCTTCCTAATTTCCAAAGTAGTATAAACTTTCTAAAATATACTCTCCTTTTTTCCCCATTTTACATGTTATAATGACAGGAGAGAAATGGACTCTACACTTATTATACCACAGTGTAATTCAAACTCTAAGAGGAAATAAAAGGTCTGTGACTTGGCATGCATCCTCATTAAGGACTGTGGAAGAAGCTTCCTTATCTACTCCACCTGTATGCAGGACACAGGCATCAAATCAAGAAGTAAGACCCCTTTCACGGACCTATTCCTTCTTGCAACTCGTATCAAAATGTTAATAGCAGTGTTTACTCTCTGAAGACTTTGAGTTCAATCTGTTATAACCATCTTTCCTCCATGCTACACCCTACACCCAAATCCCAGACACACTCCACATGAGGAATTATATACGTCAGAGTCACACTTGCTCTCTGCCCTCGCAAGAGCCGCCAAAGTACATGTGGTGGTGGTTTTTTTTTCAATCACAAACATACCCTATGCAACCAGGTTTCCTAACAAGTCAGAATATGCCTTTACAGACAAGATTAATTCAACAAAAATAATTCTTTTTTTCCTAGGCCTACTCAGAAATACATGAAAATGCACTTAGGGGTTAATAATAGCTAATATGTGATGAGTGTTTATCCTGACCAGGAAGCTGCTATATATTATTTATTTCCATTTTATCTTCACAGATGTGAAGGTGGCATTATCATTATTCTACAAATAAGAAAGAAACTCAAGAAGATTACAGGATTTGCACAAGGACATATAGAGATTAAGTGGTATGTGAACATGAATGTGAACCCACCTCGTCGAATGATTTTAAAATCCATGCTTTAAATCACTGTACTATCTCCTACTGACAAACTAGATCATTAATCAGCAATTTTAATAACTACATATATAAATACATAGACATAAAACCTGTTCAAACCCCTGAAACAAACTAACTTCTCCTGGTCGGAAGACAAGTTATAAACAATGAACCATGAACTGGCTATCTAACACAACTTTCTCCAAATCTTAAGAGTCCCTGAAGGCTGGCCAGTCTACTCTCTACTTGGGCACATCCAGTGACACGTGAAGGGGTCTGTTCAAGCCTTGCTACTCAAACTGTGGCCCACAGCATAGCAACATTGGCATCAACTGGGAGCTCTAAAAATGCAGACTCTCAGGCCCCATCTCCACACCTACTGAATTACAATCTGCATTTTAATAAGATTTCAAAGGAGTTTAGTGGGCACATTCAACTTTGAGAATCACTGACTTCAACCATCAACAATTAGCCAGCAAGAAACTATGAAGCACCTACTTTAGTAATGTTGTTCACACTGTCCTCACTGCCCCAATTCGTGATTTAAAATGTTCTGGCTTCAAATATCTGACTCTGCAACTTAGTATTTTATGGCACACACAAGGCATTTAAGAAATGTCAACATGCATCTGTCTCTTTTCCTTTTCCATAAAAAGTTCCCTGATCATCCCAATTCCTTGCAACCAAAAGTAATTTCTTACTCCTCTCAACTCCTCCAATGTTCCTTCACATTTCTCAGGTATTACATTCAAAATCATTTATTGAATGCCTACTGTGCACCAAACACTGAGCTAGACCATTCTCATCTACCTTACTCTATGGTAATTTGTCCAGAATATATTCAACAAACTTAACTAAATTGTCAATTACTTAAGGACAAGAATTTATATGCACCCCCTAACACCTAATCCAATGGAGAGATTGTTTAGGAGAGTTCATATGAATAAAGTTCCTACGAAATACATTTTCCTATAAACATCTGCCACCTGACCTAGTTCTGCTTCCATAGATGCATACAAAAAAAAAAAAAATGTGCTTCCTCTTCCACTCTTAGCTAAAATACAATGAACAGCTTACTCTTCCTCCTATGGACTTCAAGTTAAAATTATCCCTAAATTGCTTCAACTTTTCTTAGGTTCTAGATCCACTCCCACGTCAAACCCCGAATTCTAGAAGAATGAATAGCTACCCATCCTAAGCACTTTTACTAAGTTTCCTTCAAAAACACAGTACCCTAGATCACATTTCATATTCAGGGGTGGTCTCTCCTACACCTTCAACAAATACATACTGACACAGACATACATACTCGTACAAGTCTTAAGAATTGTCCATCCCCTCCTGGAAGGAATCATAAGAAACTGAATAGTGGTTGTGGGGAGAAAGGTGGAAGAAAGAAGAAAGCTGGAAGAGAGAAGAAAGCTGTATATACTTTATACCTGTACTGCCTGAAATGTATCTTTCAAAAACAAACTTTCATTTGAGGGTTTCTATTTCTCTGTATTATAAAAACAAATAAATGTCATAAAACATTATGAGTATTGCTGTACTCACAGCAAATAAAGTGTTTTTATTAACATAGGTTAAGTTGGTTACAGCTTTTTAAATATTCAACACAATTTTTTCCATGGTCTTTGACAAGCCACAGGAAGTTTTTAGACAATTATATATTAAAATAAAAAACCAGATCAAGTTAATTTATATTTGTTTGGGACGTAAGCAGGCAGGAAGAAGACATGCTCACATTCAAAGAAGAGCTGCAACCTATGTGAAGAGCAGAGGCCTTAGGAAGGGGCACTAAAGGTAGAGGACCAAGTACGCACTATTTACTTCTGCCACAGAGAAAGCATGGCAGGCAAGTTCACCTCTCCCCAGCCCTACAAAGGCAAACACTTGAGGACCTGAATGAGAAGTTGAGTAACAAGAACAAAGAACAGGAACCCTTTAGGATCTGAGGTTCTGTGCTTGGGAATGTGAGTAATGTGCATATTAATGTCTGCATTGATCAGACCTTCCAAGCTTGAAGGAGACAGAATTTAACTTGTGGTATATCTACATGGGTGCTTCCAGGTGTGTCATGGTGGAAAGACTAAGTTCAGTCTGGTTCCTTAGATATATGTTGGCCTCCCCTAAATGATAACTTATCAACCTGACTGTCCAGGGAGGCAGACAAAGCCCCCGACTCAACATACATCTCCTCTCATCACAAGAGCTGACTTTAAAACCTGGGGACTTAACCAAATCAACAGCCCTCCTTCCTGCATATGAATCAGAGCTTCAAATCTTAGGTTTCACCAGTCACCAGCTTAAGGCTATCTTAAGCAAGCTACTTTGTTAATCTCTCCGAGTCTTCAATTTTCTCATCTGTAAAACTGAGATAATTGCTACTTTCAAAGCTGTTTTAGGAAATAAGCTAAAGGTATGTGAAGTGCCCACAAAACATCTGGCCATGGTAAAGGGTCAGCACCTTCGCCCTCCTGCCTCACCCTGTGCTTTCCTGCCTCCTCACTTCTCTTTAAACTGCAACATCCTAGAGTCTTTTTCTTTTTTATTTCTACTTTAAAATATTACCTTTATTTTGAGCATAATCACCTCTTTTCATGCATGTGTAACAGGTACATATATCTTTTTAAAAATATTTTTCCCTTACCATCTGCAGCAGTACAGCGAGAAGCCAGTTCCCACAAGACTAATCCCATGGCGTACATATCTATCCTCAAAAATGCATCCCTTTGGAAGTTTATAGCACCCTCTAATACCTCTGGAGCCATATACCTCCGGGTACCAACCTGAAAAAGATGTTGAAAGTAAACAGTACTCATTCATTACCTTTACAAACTTACACTTTATGATTTTTATAAAAAGAATCAAAGAAAATGAAATGTATTCTGATAGAAGGTAAGGTAACTAAATTATGACATCAAACTACAGGATCAAGCAGATACTATTGCATTTCAAGTAATGCAATGTCAAATCACTGGCAACAACCAAAGCATCTACAAGCAGGGACTCCTTAAGCACATATAGTATATGCTGCTCTTAAAAACATGAAGTAGATCTGTAAGTGCTGATACAGAAAGATCTCCAAAAATGCTGTTGGGTGGAAAAAAAAAAAACAAGGAAACAAAATAGTATGAGTAGTACAATCCTTTCTGGGTGCACTTTTAAAAAATACATACTAGCAGACATACATATGCTATATGCTGGTACGAGTCTTAAGAATTTTCCACCAGCCACCCCAGAAGGAATCATGAGAAACTGAACAGTGGCTGGTTGTTGGGAGAAAGGTAGAAGAGAGAGGGCTGTATGTAATTTTCACCTGTACTGTTTGAAATTTACGTTAAAAAAAAAAACAACAACTTTTTCTTGAAGGTTTCTATTTCTCTGTATTACAAAAACTGATGAATGTTAAAAAAAGAAAACAAAACACACTGCCATGAATCAATTCTAACTCACAGTGACCCTCCACTGGGTTTCCGAGGTTGTACATCTTTACGGAATCAGATTGCCCAATCTTGCTTCTGCAGAGTGGCTGGTGGGTTTGAACCACCAACTTTCTGGTTAGCAGTCAGATACCTCAGGCACTGTGCTACCAGAGCTCCAAAATTAATTCCTGTGCAACCCAGATGGGACTCGAACCCACAATCCCCAGCTCCAGAGGCTGATGCCTTATCCATTATGCCACTGAGTCACTATGCCACAGGAGTCCTTGAATGTTATAAAACACTGAAAAAGAATTAGCTAAGTATATGGATAAACTTTTTAAAATGTATTTATTTATTCATGAATTCTTCTGTCTTGGAGTTCTTTACTATTATCTATGTCTAAAAATTTGGTATTTCCTATTACTAAAACTCTGTTAGCTGGCTTTGGTTGGTGCCTGACAACATTCATATATGAATGCTTAAGAAATACTGATGACACAGCTGGGTAAACCACAACCTCCTTGAATTTGTCAGCCCATCTAGGGAGTGGCCCTGGTGCTGGTATTTCCAAAGAGGTCCATCCCTAGGTGAGCATGCTTGCTTCCCTAGACCAGCTGGACCATTATCTGCAAATACAGATTTAACAGAGATGTTCTAAAAAAATTTAAGACATATCACTGACACCTTAAGTTCAAGTTTTTCATTCATTTACCATGGAGAACATGTTAAAGGGGAAAAAAGTAACTTAGCTTTTTTGCTACTTTAAATATTTTAATTGTACTTTGTTTCCCAAAAACCTACATTACTCATAAAGCTCATTTTTTTCAGCTAAAGTACTTCCTTTATTATGAGATTATGGCTTATCTACCTTTGGTGTAAAATGTCTTTTATACATTGATGATGTTAGTAGATAAACTATCTTTTTGCCCCAATGTTCCTTCCTTGCAATACATAAAATGTGCAGTAGCATGCAATTCCCTCCAAGTATTTTTTTGTTGAAATTTTCTGGTCTGTAAAATCTAAAGTCAAGGATCACTACTGTGGTTATTTTAAAATTAGTTACTTTCACCTTATCATATACCCCAATGTGAGGGAGTTAAAAGTGTCATGAATGAGTCACAATCAATTTTTTTTTCCTTTAAAAAAGAGTAGTTATGAGGAACTAATGGATGAAATCATTGCCAAAATTTAGTCTTACAACAGTCCATCATACAGCCTGTCCACAGGCTTCCCAAACAATCTCCATCTCAGCAGTATACTACACAAACCTGGCCTGCCTTCATTCCCAAAGACACTTGGTGTCAACTTTTCCAGAGCTGTATGCCTGCTGACCATGGCTCTAAACTAAATTCTTAAGCTGTCAGTTAATACAGCCAAAATGTGTTGTTAATAATTGTATTCTTTGTGGTCAACAGAATATACTGCAAAACAGGAAAAAAAAAAAAGCTGAGACTAAGCTGACCAAATAATTAGCACCATTTCAAAGATGAAGAAATGATAAAACCAAAGCCTGAATCATTTGGCTGTGTAACCAGCCAAACTCGTTTTCTTGATCGCAAGGTGATCTAGTAGAAGTGAAAATACCTTTCCTAGCCTCACAGTTTCTGAGAATAAAAAGTATGGATAATGCTCTTTTCCCCTTCGGCCCTCCTAAAGGTACCCATTACTGAGGTCTCTTTGTACAGACCTTCATTAGTGTCATGCACCTCACACAGAGCTCTGTAAGTGCTCTGAACTCTGGAGAGAATTCAGAAAAAAAGCCATAAAGTTGATTAAAGAATTAATGAAACCAAAAGAGCAACAAGAATCAAGAAACTGTAATTGTTGTCTGGAAAAATGGGCAGAGGATCTTAAGATACTATAGTAAGAACAGTGACTGATTCTCACTCCTCCATTCCCCTTAGGATGGTAAGAGAATTAAAAAGGTCAAACTAACTGAGTTAATATATAGGTTAGAAATAAGAATTCACAAGCATTAGGTACACTAAAAGGGGTTTGACTCATTTCAAAAGTAGAAACCGCATGTTATGTCTAGTTGTTTTATGAACTGTTTGAACTAAACCACCTGAGTGTCCCAGCAGTTCTGTACCACCGTATGAAAATGTCTTCCTCAGAAAATGTAATGGGCAATGCTTAATAAAGGAATTCTATATTAGATGCTGATTTGATAACCACCACAACAGTGTTAGACCGATTTAATACTGACATACCATTCTAAGGAAATAAGGAACAAGCTAGTTTTTTCTTACATTTTATAACTACCTTTCTTACCTGTCCATGGGTATCACCCGCAGACTTGCCAGCCTCAAACTTTAATGCCAACCCAAAGTCAGCAATGCAAGCTGTCAGATTGTTTTTCAACAGCACATTTTTACTTTTGATGTCCCTTGCAAACAGAAAGAAAGTATTCAAATTAAGTATAAACAAGTTGTCTCTTAAAATTTTTTTTTACTGAAAATGGGAAAAATGAAGAATAGGTATGCTATAAAAGAATAGTTATTAGAAAGTATAAACTGGAGAGAAAGGGAGAGGGAGAAAAAGAAAATTTAAATAAGGCAAAAGAATAAAATGACAAACTCCTATTCATAATATAGACAATAACAAGGAGTCCTGCTCACAAAGCAGGACTTTCTTTTGTAAAGAGTTGCCATTCCAAAACTACTGTCTATGCTACATGCTATCTATGAAATGGAACCGACTCAATATAACAACTAACATGTTAACTATGTCACTCCCATCTACCAATCACAGAACTGCTGTTTTTAAATACACTATTCCAGGGTACAGAGCCAAATAAAATCCCACAGAAATCAAAATAAAAACACCAAAATGAAAGAACTTTTGATAACAGATGAGTCATCAGGGCTTTCTGCCTCAGAATGGTCCCTTATTGCAATGGTTCTTGTATTGTTCCACTTAATTGTCCACTGTCACCTTCCCTGGAAATCATCTCTAAGGATGTGTAACATAAAATGTTCACCAAAAATATGCACTGCCCCAGCTATATCCTGGTGTTCTGAAAAGGTAACAGTCAGTATTAAAGCAATCCCTTGCTAGGTGCTTGCCTCAACTGGTTTATCCTAGAGATTACTATACCATAGCTAGATACATCTATGCCATGGACAACAGTTAAATTTATGTGCACAGATATAGACCAAGAGAGGGATAAAGAATGAAAAGGCTGTTACTGTAAAGTACCATCAAGTTGGCTCCTACTCAGAGCTACATCACATAAAAAAAAAACAGAACACTGCAAAGTCCTTGACCATACCTATCATCACTACCATGTTTGAGCCCACTGTCACAGCCACAGTGTCAATCTATCTATTTTGAGATCTTCTCTAGTCGTATTTTTAGTGTCTTCCAACCTGAGGGGCTCATCTTCCAGCACTGTATCAGACACCGTTCCACTGCTAGCCAACGCTTGCACTGGCCAATTATTCAGAAGTAGATTGTCAGCCCCTTCTTCCTAGTCTGTCTTGGTCTGGAAGCTCCACTGAAACCAGTCTACCATGGATGAGCTGCTGGCATTTGAAATACCAGTGACATAGCCTCCACATCACAACATATAAGCCACCACAGTATGAAAAACTGGCAGACAATCACAAATGCTACAAAAAAAAATCAGCTTTAAACCCAAAAGATTCTCAGGGACTCCTTAGGGGGCTTCAAAGCATTAGTTCCCTAGAGCACTAGGTGAAGCTAGCAAAAATCCAGGAACAGGCATTCCAAATCCATGTATGAACATAAGATAAAAGGGGAGCTATTTCTGAGGTAGAGATCTTGTAAGGTTTGCAAAAACAGAATCTATTTTTGACTGGCTTAAAAGAAATGCTTTTCAACAACCTAAGTACCAACTGATGGCACTCAGATGAATCAGTTTTTTTTTTTTTTTTAATTTTATTTTGATTTGGGTGAAGATTTACAGAGTAAATTCACTTTTCATACAGCAGTTCACATATACTTTGTCTCA